AGTGAAAGACTAGAGGGAAGGCAGCTAGACATTACCACACATCGCCAACTCTTGGGCTACTCTTTTACCAACGAATAGTGGGATCGACCGTCACATTAAAACTCCCCCACGAACCCGCGACCCTCTGATTGCGAGTCGAGCGCCCTAACCACCTGGCCATGCCGGGCCTTATTTATTATTATGAAAATCGTATGATAATAAGAAAGTTAGCTTAATGTTTCCCTATTAACAAAACACCCTAATGATATAACACTACATTCAATAGAAGTTCGTATAACAACCAATGAATAAGGTCACAGACTTAACATTTAGTTTGCTGGAAAACTTTGTCAGGTGTAATTTGAACTTCAAATAGTAAAACTGTGCATGAACAAGACAAGAAGTTACTTACAAGAAAACAAAACTCTATCATTAAAAAGCTTGATAGTGTATTGTTTGTATAATTCTTTATAATTATGACGAGTTTATATATAAATCGGTATTGTGAACAACAACATAAAACCTTGCCATCTTTCGAAAGTGCACGAGGGTTTTGTGTTTTTGTCTTAAATTCATATTTTGCATTTTTCTAACATCGTGAACGTATCGCTATTGTATCTATGAACTCACACGATGAACACGAAAATTACTCTTAAATAATCAGTAATCTTTTAGGAGTACATACGTACATACAGACAAAGTTTTAACCTTTTCAGTAGACACTTCACTCTGTTTATACACGTGCGTGTTATCTGTGATGGATTCATTTTATTCTATCTTACTCTTTTCAAGGGGAACCGATAACTATTGAAAGACACGGACCGAAGTTTCTTGTTGAGCCTCTTAATCTCATAGAATTTTCAAATGACACTGGAGGGTCAGCACATTGTGCTACTAACGGCTATCCGTCCCCTCGGATACAATGGATAACAGAGAACGGGGAAGACGTAACTCACGTCCCTGGTCTTCGACATGTACTGCCTAATGGTACTTTGTATTTCCCGCCATTTCCACCAGAATCGTATAGGCAGGATATTCACGGTATCCTGTATCGGTGTACAGCAAGAAACCTTATTGGAACGATTCTTAGCACAATGGTTTCAATGAGAGCCGGTAAGCAACTTATATTTTCTAGCTTTGTCTGACATTTCGCCTTTCATTTACCTCGCGTAATAATATTCTTGTATTAAAGTTCAAATCACACAATGCACAACAAAAACTTAACAAAACAGTAAGTGCAATTAATTGTCACGTAAAGATTTTCATGTTAAAATATTAAGTCCAATTAATTGTCACGTAAAGAATCTCATGTTAAAGCGTTAAGTCCAATTGTCACGTAAAGATTTTCATATTAAAATATTAAGTCCAATTAATTGTCACGTAAAGAATCTCATCTTAAAGCGTTAAGTGCAATTTTCACGTAAAGATTTTCATGTTAAAATATTAAGTCCAATTAATTGTCACGTAAAGAATCTGATGTTAAAACGTTAAGTCCAATTGTCACGTAAAGATTTTCATATTGAAATATTAAGTCCAATTAATTGTCACGTAAAGAATCTATGTTAAAACGTTAAGTCCAACATTCGCTACATAAAACGTTAATAAACCCCTTTAAACAACTCCCTCCCCCACAGACACAAAATCAAGCTATTAAAGTATATCATTTCATCTATAGAAATCCCTAAAATGCGTCTATAGAATGTTTTTACAGCATAAGTTTGATCAACTCGTCGCTCTGTATCTACCTAACTGATAAATGCTTGCGAAAAATGTCATATTTTTTAAATTAATTTACGATATATACATATATTGACTAAGTATATTATCTTAATATTTATGGATTTTAAACAGACATTTATTCACGAATGTACGCGAATTATCATAGTATTTGGTGGCGTTTTTAAAGATCTATTGAAATAAGATTAAGATATATTTGATGCATATTCGCTAATCGTAGGATTGTGATGACCTGATCCCATGTATGTGTCAAATCCACAAAATTTACCAATATCAAATAAAACATACGACAATCTTGATTATACGATACAACCTTATGAGTTCACGAACACTGATCATTTGAACACTATCCAAATATATGTGAGTAAATCAAACAGTGATTTTCAATTAAATTCGCGCGAATTCTGCCAACTTACAATAAGTTTCTATTTCGGCAACATTGCCTTTTAACAAAATTCTCATGTTAAAACATTAAGTCCAATTATTTGTCACGTAAACAATCTCATGTTAAAACATTAAGTGCAATTAATTGTCACGAAAATATTCTCATGTCAAAACATTAAGTCCAATCAATTGTCACCTAAAGATTCTCAGGTTAAAACGTTAAGTCCAAATAATTGTCACGTAAAAATTCCCAGATTAAAACATTAAGTGCAATTAATTGTCACATAAAGATTCTCATGTCAAAACATTAAGTCCAATCAATTGTCACCTAAAGATTCTCAGGTTAAAACGTTAAGTCCAAATAATTGTCACGTAAAAATTCCCAGATTAAAACATTAAGTGCAATTAATTGTCACGAAAAGATTCTCATGTCAAAACATTAAGTCCAATCAATTGTCACCTAAAGATTCTCAGGTTAAAACGTTAAGTCCAAATAATTGTAACGTAAAAATTCCCAGATTAAAACATTAAGTTCAATTAATTGTCACGTAAAGATTCTCATGTCAAATTATTAAGTCCAATTAATTGTCACGTGTGATTAATTTTGTTATGTAGTTGTTAACCACTTCTATGAAGCTCAAGTTTACGATGAGTTTGTGATACGTGGAAACACTGGAGTGTTGAGATGTCATCTACCTAGAGTCTTAAAGGATTATGTCACAGTAACTTCATGGATTAAGGATTCTACTACACGCATCATCTCAACAGCGAAAATTGGTAAGTTTTTTTTTATTAAATCAAGAATTAGGTGTTTATTAAGTGATTTCTGCTCATTCCTTTTGCTCGAGAGTATTTTGAATGTTTTAGAATATTATTAAAATCGTAACAAAAAATTGAGGTTGACGAAAGAATTAAACTTTGAAAAGCGCATATCTTTGATTTGCAGTAATTTAATTGGAACTTATTTTTACAACTGAAAATATCGTAAAGAACAGAACTGGCTACTAAGGACATGCTTTGTATGGCTCTTGTAACATTCCATGTTGCAGTAAAAAATGGCAATACCTAAAGCAAATTTCTGTAAATTAGTTTTAAAATGTAATTTTCAATAATCATTAGGCAGTTTTTAGAAAAAAATGGGAAAAGCCATAATTATGAAACTCACTTCATAATTCTGCTGAGAAGTGAGTTTCATAATTCTGCTGTGAAGTGAGTTTCATAATTCTGCTGTGAAGTGAGTTTCGTAATTCTGCTGTGAAGTGAGTTTCATAATTCTGCTGAGAAGTGAGTTTCGTAATTCTGCTGTGAAGTGAGTTTCATAATTCTGCTGTGAAACTCACTTCACAGCAGAATTACGAAACTCACTTCTCAGCAGAATTACGAAACTCACTTCTCAGCAGAATTATGAAACTCACTTCACAGCAGATATAAAGAACGTCTGGTAAATAGTATTTTAAACATGAACAGCTCTTAATGCAAAACATCCGTTAAATGGCCAGGTCAGAGACCTTAAGGTACAAATAAAGCTGTCCCTAGTGTAAAACTGCTGATCTGAAAGAGGGTGGTGGTGGAAGGAGGTACTTAGTCAGCAGCAACCCTTCTACACGATCACAGGACATTAGCAATCGATGTGTTCGAAGGAAAACGAAGTTTGATTATAAACAAGATTACGACACTTATGATAAACAACATTGTTTATTGACAAAAAGGGGACATGGATAAACGTTTCAGAATTCTATCAAACTCCATCTTCAGTATCTAAAGCAGAATAAAATGAATTTACATAAGTTTTGGACATTGCTAAAATACAATTACTAAATATAACGATGATTAAACAAATAAAACAGAAAACAGTAATCATGAGCAGAAACTGTAACAAGAAAACTACCCTCAAGTGGATTTCAGATTAGTTTTAAATCCACATCACGCATATTTTTTTCGCCCTACTAAAGATCTCCTACCCATTCCTTATTGTCCCTGACTTGTCTATCTTTTCACGTGTGGAGACTGTAAGGCCTCCTATGTTGGCAAAACCAAAACGCCATTTAAAAGTCAGAGCCTATGAACATATGGGAATTTCC